CCAAGTTGCCCAGGCTGGTCTGGAACCTGTGGGCTCAGGCAATCCTCTCACCTCAGCCTCCCAAAGTGCTGGGATTATAGGCGTGAGCCACCGTGCCAGGCCAGTTTTGGATTTTATTTAATCACTGATGGGGTGTTGGACTAGGCAACGTGTGAATGCCTTTCCAGCTGAAATACTCCTGGCTTCCTGTCAATCAGTGAAAACATCCAGGAAGCAGGCTTTTGGGCTCCATGCTGCAAATAGACCATCCTTGGATGGTTTGGCCTGCTGGCCTTCTCCTGAACAGAGGTCTTAGTTCCTTAGGCAGTAGAATAAAGGACCACAGCCAACTCAAAAGACACCATAGTGTGTGCTGCATGTTTCTTCTGCTTTGGGAGTGGAAAATAGAAGGTCATTTAAATATTTACAAGTAGTCTTTCTATATCTTAAATTGTGACATTCAAATGAATATAGGAGCAAGCATTGTATGTTGTATAAAACACAGGTATATAAAACTAACTCGATTTCAAATAGCTTTCAGCAAACCCCCATTCTAGCAGATATGAGTGACAACAGTTTATTTTCTCCTGTGTCTTTTTTTTTTTTTTTTGAGTTGGAGTCTCACTCTGTCGCCCAGACTGGAGTGCAGTGGCCGCTCCTGGCCACCGCAGCCTCGCCCGCTAGGCTCCAGCGATCCTTCTAGCTCAGCCTTCCGAGAAGCCGGAATTACAAGCAGGCGCAACCATGCCCGGCTGATTTTTTGATTTATTGTAGAGATGAAGTCTCGCTGCCCAGGCGGGTCTCGAACCCGCGGGCTCAGGCAATCCACTCACCTCAGCCTCCCAAAGGCGCGGGATTACAGGCTGAGCCACCGAGCCCGGCTTCCTGTGTCTTTTCAATTTGTCTGTACAGCAGTAGTCTAAACCAGGCTCTGCAGGCACCATAACAGTTTATTATTTATTGTACTTCTGTATGCATTTTCTGTTCCTCCTGTGCGTTCTGAACTTCAGAATCTTGCCTTTTGTGTTGTCCAGTCACATAGATCACTTTGCCATCTGTGAGCCATTAAACCTTTTGAAGAGGGGGCTTTGCTGGTGGTATCACAAGACTGTGCCACTGTGAATCACTAGTGAGGACTGGACCAAAAGTGAGGGTCTGAAGACTGCTCTGAGTGTTCCCAAGGTGGGGAGCTGAGAGCAGGTGAGGAAATGCCTGGGGATTCCTGAGCGATTGTTCTACTTTTAGGAAGTGCCTGGGCTCTCCTATCCAAAGTATGCAGTTATCTTAAAACAGATTTTAAAAATTGTTTCCTTGTGAAGCAGTGCTTGTTTGCCTTTTATTGTTTTGTAGAGAAGGGTCTCATTTGTTTCCTCGGCCTCAAGCAGTACTTCTGTCTTGGCCTGCTTGGATTTCAGGTGTGACCCACTGTGCCTGGCCTCCCTTTGTTTCTTCTTACTGCACGTGATGGTGGTTCTGTGAGATTGATCTTGTATGGAAGTATATTAGGAACTGAAACACCTATCTAAGGCCTAGGATATGTGGTGCGGTGGTTTCCAGGGAAATCAACAAAAGTCACTTTGAAACTTAAATTTCATTGTTTGAGAATAGCTATATTTACATATGATTTTCTTCCATCTGACACATTTATTCTAGGAAAAAGCAAAATAAATTTGATTTTCACAAGTGACAAGGAATCTGGAAAACGGGTAAAACTTTATATACCTATGATCTGACATGTCCAGGGTTGGACAAGGTTCTGATGCCATTCCAGGCACATTAACATCTGAAGTCTAAGTCATAGAATCAGTGTTGGCCAGCAGGGCTTAGCAGTACTCAGGGTGCTTCAAGGTAGGGGATGAGGGTGGGACAGAGGGGATAAGTGCCACCTACTCTATCCTGGATGGAGCCCGGTGGTTTATTTGACAAGCACTGTAGCATGGGACTGTGAGGTGTTGGTTTGTTAACTAAGCATGGAAAGGAATGCTGAGCTTTTAATCACACTTGTGGCTTCCGGAGTGAGGACACAAATGCTGACTTATAGGCTCGGGGCATTTCACAACTCTGAAGATAAACTGCTTCATCTTCTGGAGGGTAATGTTACGTGCTACACAATGTGAAGGCTTATTTACCTTATGACTAGGGATTATTGGGCCAGTACTCTGTCTTTTAGACAGTCTTTAGGCCCAGATGCAGATTGTTGTGTGTTGCCTGCTCATGTGGTGGTTAAGTCTGTTACGTAAAGTGGTTGGATTTTTGTTTGAATCCGTTACTAGAGTGAAATGTCCAGGCAAGATTGGCTGCTGGGGAGGCTGGCATGCTTGGTATCCTGCTATGGCTGTAGTCCTTCAAGGCCTCATGGTTTTATTTCTTTGATTCTTGTCACACTCTTTATTATGCCTCTATACTGTTGAGAGTAAGGGAAAAGAGAGTAAACCAGAAGTAAGTATTCAGTAGATCAGAAAGCAGCTAAAGCGGTGGGTCACGTTCATTGTAGCTGTAACTGGTATTCAGTAGATCAGAAAGCAGCTAAAGCGGTGGGTCACGTTCATTGTAGCTGTAACTGGTACTAGATGAACCCCATTTGTTTGATTACATCCCTCTTGGGTCCTCCCATCCTAATTCCAAGGTAGCCTGTGTGGAGTGCACAGACCAGCTGAGTTTGCTTGACTTGTAGTGAGCTAAGATACAAGTGGCAGCATGTTAAGTGGGGATGCTAGAAGCCAGGGTTTGTGACTTCAGCAAGTGGGAACTGAGGAACTGTGGCAGCCACCAGCTCTGGGAAGCACACCTTAGACCTGTCCTGTGAGCTTCCCCATCTCCACCAGTGTCCACTGCCACTTCTGAGCCTGGTCCTTATTACTCCTGTACATGGAGCTGCCTGACCCTGACAGATAAAAGATTGGTAGAATGGTCAGTATTTGCAATTGCATTTCAGTTTATAGTTTAAGGTATTCTTGAAGGCCATGTTTGCCCAGTGGTAACTTATCAGAAGGAAGGAAGCTTTTATCAGGAAATATGCCAGAGCTAGAGTTACAGTTGTGATAAAATGAAGTCTTTCTGACCTTGAGGCTTTATCTTTGTTTGCAGAGATCTCATAAATGGACATGTGAGAAATAAGCCAAACAAGCAAATATTTCATAGGCATCGTCAAGAATTCATTTGGAAGAAAAAATACTTAGGCTGAGATCTCAGGACCATTGTTGAGTATGTATTGTGATCTTACTAATAGCTGACAGATGTTAAAAATCAAGTCCTGGTGACAACTTATTTCTTGGAGGAAAGCCATTGCTATATCGCTGTTTCTCGTTTTCAGTATTTAAAATGTTTCCAGTCACAGTGCTCAAGGAAAGAGGGAAGTGTTGAAGTTTTTCTAAGATAACAAGAGGAAAATAATTACATGGTGAATATATTTAGTCTTTTCATAGCTGACTGGACCCGATTTTCCAGTTTGCGAGGGTAAATTCATCAATTCTTCGTCTTGAACTGGTTTTCATTTTAAGAGGGGGATCTACAGGGGAGTTTTCCATCACACCCCCTTCACTTCATCCACTTGGCATTTTCCTGGTAGCCTGGAGTTGGATGGCCTGTCTACAATGGGGAGATGTGGTGCTTACTCCATGAGCCCCCTCATGCCTGGTCGGGCTATCAGCTGGACCTCCAGTTGTCTGCTTTTTAATTTACTTTTTAAAAAATTTGGTAGGAAAACCAATTTAATAACCTTTCTCTAATAACCCAGTTCTTACTAGTACTGCCACTGTTATTACTTGTTTTTTAAAAAACAAAAAAAATTTTTTGACCGGTGAAAATGGAGTAGTAGAGTATTCTTTTTCTGAATTTCCAGCTTACAAAATCAGGTGACTTTGTTTTCAGGGCATTGCTCATACTTGTTGCTGTGGGTAGCCACAGTGGGGTTCTGATGAGGGCCTTCATTAGTTTCTGTGATTCACTCTTGTATAGATTCCTTAATTGTTAGAAGCAGTGACTACATGTTAACAGACTTATTACTCTTAGCTCTCCACCCAGGATTCTACTCCTCAGGACTGTCTGACATCTCCCCAGGTTTTCCTTTCACATGTCTGTGTGGTCTAGTTAATGCTGGTTGAATGTTGTTTGTACTTAGGCATTTTCATGAGAAGTTCATGATCTTTGTCCTGTGTAGTTTAGGATTTCTTGGTGTTTAATCAAGTATTTGGTTAAATGTGTTTCATGTAGACATAAAGTATGTGGTGTACACGACAGTGGAGCCAGCAGGTGCCTTGTTCAGATTACAGAAATGCTTTGGATACACCCCTGCAGTTCAAATGAACTTGGAGGTTTCTCAAAACTGACTTTGTAAACTGTAAGCTGCTTTACAATAACTACCTCCCATTTTTGAAAGGATAATTTTTAGGGCCAAATGAATTTTGAGACTAATACTTTAAAAATGTGTTTCAGCTGAGATCTGTGTCAGTGGACCTGAATATTGACCCCTCGCTTCAGATTGACATACCGGATGCACTAAGTGAGAGAGATAAGGTCAAATTTACAGTGCACACCAAGGTAAGTGACAGAATGGCTTTCACAATCTGAACAATGCTGGTCGTAGCCTTATTTTTTGCAGTGACCATGAGAAGAGATTCCCTAAGCTGAAATGGTTGCTGTTTATGGGGCCGTCCTAGTGCTAAGGAACACTTGTAGTCAATATCAGATAAACACTTCAGCACCCCGCCGTGGCAGAGCCCCAGGGCCGTGGGCATCATGGGCCTTGAGTGTGACTTGTGCTGTACCCCATGAGGAAGCACACCAGGCATAGTGATGCATCCGTAGCCAATCCCCTATACAGTACAAAATTCATCTTTTTTTTTCCTATAAGTCGGGTTTACTCTCTAGCGTAGGCTGGAGTACAGTTGCACAATCACAGCTCTCTGCAGCCCTACCTCTTGAGTTTATGTGATCCTCCCGCCTCAGACTTCAAGTAATTGGGATGGGCATGTGCCACCTTGCCTGGCTAATATTTCCCATTTTTGTAGAGACAGGGTCTCATGTTGCCTAGGTTTTGTATTTCTCATGAAAATGACTGCTTAAGCAGTCCCTCTTCCCTTGGCTTCCCAAAGTGAGATTATAGGCATGAGCCACTATGCCAAACCCATCTTTGTTTTTTGTCCAAAATAAATTTCTGTCTGTAGCTTGGTTTTTTCCTGTTTACTGAGTTGGGAAGGACATGTCCCACAGTGTTTTTAACGCCTAGGTGACTTGGTTAGCATAATCAGAGGCTCAGGAGAAAGTGGTGACATCATTTCTGCCCAAATTGACCTGATCAGAGTAGGTGAAATAAGCATTCACTGGAGCAGAAAACAAGCCAAGGCAATTTCCAGAACAGTGGTAAACTAGCTACATTATTTTACTTTTCTCTTTTTTTCATAAAGTTCAGACTTAAAGATAGAATTAGGGTAGGGTTGTCATTTAACTTTATGGAATTTTTTACTAGTAGATTATTGCTTCTTAGGTTGTAAGCTTCAGAGAGGTGGAGTTTTGTGAAAAGAATTCCTTAGTGATCAGGTTGAGTCTTGAGCTATGACTTGTGTAGTGGTGCTGGAGATTATGTATTACTGCTCTTGTTCTTTTTGTTTATTTGTCCCACCCTGCCCTTTCCTTACCTCCAGGGAAGACTGATCTTGTGGCCCTGCTTCTGTTCTTTACTGGATCTTATTGTGATACTGTATTATGCAGAATTTTCCCATCATGCAGCCCAGAAACCTAAACCACTTTATCTAAAAGTGGTGGTTACCAGTTAACTCTCCTTCTGTTCTTTACAGACCACACTGCCCACATTTCAGAGCCCAGAGTTTTCTGTTACAAGGCAACATGAAGACTTCGTGTGGCTACATGACACTCTTATCGAAACAACAGACTATGCTGGACTTATTGTGAGTACGTTTTTAGAAAATCAAATAATTAAGCTAGTTTTTTCTACCTTGTTTGTTTTGATTAAGGAGACTTTTACAACCATTTTTTGTAATGGATTGTGAAGTCTGATTTCATCTTCCTACCAGAGCAATTGCTAATTTCATTGTTGGTAAAGTCTCAAAATGTGAAGACTAGTGTTAAGCTGTGAAATGAAGCATGCAAGCTAGAGGGCAGACCAGTGAATGATTTTGGTCTTTTCTAACTTGAGGTATGGTTTTTCTCTGGCATCTTCATCCCAGTGTCAGTAGATTTCTAGGAAACATCAGTATTGGTAATATTGTGTGATGAGATTTCTCAAGTGCTCAAGGAATAAAGGAGGCAGTTTTCAGCCCTTGATAATTAATTCTTACTTGCAGAAAAATAGTTGATTTTAAAGGAGATTTAATGTGTCTTGTCCTATAAGGCAGACTGAAGAATCTGCCCAAGTGATGATTTCTTTTTTTTTGAATTGGAGTCTCACTCGTACCCAGGCTCTAGTGCAGTGGCACACTCACAGCTACTGAAACTCAACCTGCTGGGCTCAGGTGATCCTTCCACCTCAGCCTTCCAAGTAACTGGAACTACAATTGTGAACCTCTGGGCTCAGGCAGTCCTCGCCTCTGCCTCCCAAAGTGTTGAAATAACAGGCATGAGCCACTAAATGATTTCTTAAAAATTGAACAGAATTGGTGAAGCTTGTGTTTAGGAATCTTGATGGTTAAACACAGTATTTAGCACTGATTGTACTAGTTCTGAACTGGCATTGAAGCAGTATAGCCACTATTGTGTTCTACAGATTGTCTGTAATGGGTAAAGTGAACACATGATTTTGATAAAATAAGTGCCCAACTGTGAGGAGGGCACTTGTAAATGGCAGCAGGAGTAAGGTTGAGGGACTGCAGGACAGCTTCCAGAGTGGTTGTCTCCCAGGCTCTGGCAGGAGCTTGAGTGAGGCACCAACTAGAGCGTCGCTGCTGGGGCAAGAAGAAGCAGCTCATGAGCAACCTGCCTCTTGCAGATCCCGCCTGCTCCCACGAAGCCAGACTTTGATGGCCCCCGAGAGAAGATGCAGAAGCTGGGAGAGGGCGAAGGGTCTATGACCAAGGAGGAATTTGCCAAGATGAAGCAAGAACTGGAAGCGTGAGTGGGTTTTCTCGGTGGGCACTGTCTTTTGAGATAGAGTAGAAATGTCAGGAGAACCTGACCAGTGTTTTTCAAATAGAGCTGTTAGCCTAGTGCTGTTTTCCAGAACTACATTTCACAGCGTGTGAGAACTGGTCTTATGGTCTCTGTACTTCATGCATTGATTCCTTAGAGGCCATCAACACCGCTGGATAGATGAGTTGTTTTTCCCCTATGTAGAGCTTAGGGAGTGTTGGCTGGTATTGTGAAGAAACCGTAAGAGAACAGGGTCTTGCTCTGTCACCCAGGCAGGAATGCTGTGGTGTGATCATAGCTCTCTACAGCCTCATAGTGCTGGGCTCCTGCTTTGGCCTTCCAGAGCTCTGGGATTACAGGCATGAGCCACTGTGCCTGGCCCTGGCTAATTTAAAACAATTTATTTGGTAGAGGTAGGGTCTTAAGCATGTTGCCCAGACTGACTATTGTGTCTTTAGAAGTCATTTTTTAAGCTGCTTATAATGTATAAAGCTTTTTTATCTGAAGTTTGGTTATTAGAAGTATGAGAGAAACTAGATTGTGTGAATGCTGTTACAAAGAAGCATTCTGAGTAACCACCTAGATGACTTGAAAGGGGAAGTCCAGGTTTACAGGCAGCATATTTTAATCTGGTTTTAATTTAATTATTTCAAGCAAAACAGATTTTTGAAAGGTTTCTTGTGAAACCATCCTTGCACTTCCTCATCTTGGCTTAATAGCATCACCCCTTTCCTCTTCCACTGTCAACTGCCCTGCCCCGAGCCACTGTGCTTTTAGAGCAGCTCTTACCCCTCCAGGTACTGACTCAGCACACACTGGAGTTCTCTCTTGACCAGCTCTGGGGTAAAGCACTGAGCACGATAAACCCAAGTTTCTACAATGAGGAAGTTTAAAGTGATCTTTCATGTCCAGATTGAGATAAAGCCACTTTATAATTTCTGCTAATTCCAAGTCTTATTGCATTCATGCAGTGTACATGGTTTCAGAATTAAAGGGTTTGCATAGTCTTACACGTTTTTGGTTACCAAATAACAGCTGGAGTTGCAAGTAGATTTGAGGACTCTCAAACTCAATCCATCAAGTTCAATTACAACATCACTTTCCTCCGTGACTATTCCACAGATCCCAGAATGACAACTGCCTTATTATTAGCCTACCAGACAGCAGGTAATACACAACAGTTCTGGGTCCAGTTGCAGTATTTTTACATAGTGGCATTAGCAGACAGAGTTAAATGTGAGAGGCATTAGTCAGGGATTTGAGCCATGCCAACTGAATATCACATGCCATCTCTTTTCAGGGAATATCTTGCTGTCTTTAAGAAGACTGTGTCTTCCCATGAAGTCTTTCTCCAGCGTCTTTCATCTCACCCCGTTCTCAGTAAAGATCGCAACTTTCATGTTTTCTTGGAATATTATCAGGATGTAAGGCATTTTTATTCCATTTCTATGATTCAGTTAAAGTGTTTATACTTTAAAAACATACTTGATAGTTTCTGGAAAATGTTTAAGTTCTGAATTTCATACACAGAGGAAACCTTGGTAGGTGTTACATCCCCTCTATTGTCATTTTTATAAGACTCTGCTTAATGAAAATTTTATTTTCTTTCTTCTTCTAAGTACTAGATTTTGCCTTTAGTTAAGTTTGGGATTGCTAACTTTTTTTTTTTTTTAATTGGAGTCTCTGTCACCAGGCTAAGTGCAGTGGCACACTCACGACCTCCACAGCCTCGACCTGCTGGGCTCAGGCGGTCCTTCTGACTCAGCCTTCTGACTCAGCCTCCCGAGTAGCTGGAACTACAGGCACCACCATGTCTAGCTCATTAATTTTTTATCTATCATAAAGACAAGGTTTTACCTTGTTGCCCAGGCTGGTCTCAAACCCGTGGGCTCAGGCAATCCTCGCCTCTGCCTCCCAAAGTGCTGAGGTTACAGGTATGAGCCACTGTACCCGGCTGGATTGTTAACTTTCATTATTATTTTTATATTATTAACATATTTCTTGCTACTTAATATATGTGAAAGAAGCCCTGAGTTAGAAATTTCTTCAATGTCTAATAACCCATGAAGCTTAACAGTGTGAATAGAACAGAACTAGTTTTACCAGGGATTAAAAAGCCACAAACACTTAATGCCTAGGTAGTTATACAAAATGCCTCTTAAGTTAGCTTTTTAGAATGAGATGACCTGTGTTTAGGTTTAGTTATTTTTTAGGTATTTTATTTTATTTTTTTGAGTTGGAGTCTCACTCAATCACCCAGACTGGAGTGCAGTGGCCACTCCCGACCACCTCAGCCTCGCCTGCTGGGCTCCAGCGATCCTTCTGGCTCAGCTTTCTGAGTAGCCAGAATTACAGGCATGCGCTACCACGCCCAGCTGATTTTTTTGATTTTTATTGCAGAGATGAGGTCTCGCTGCCCAGGTGGGTCTCGAACCCACGGGCTCAGGCAATCCACTCACCTCAGTCTCCCAAAGGTGCGGGATTACAGGCTGAGCTACCAAGCCCGCCTTTTTTTTAGGTATTTTAAACCTGGTGGTAAGACAGAATTAAACATATCTCATGCATGTGCATATCCTAATAAAAAAGATCACTTGGAATGTTATTGAGAACTTGATTAAGAGAACCTGAAAACTTCATTAAGAGAACCTTGGAAACTGCTTGCCATGAACGTTCTTTCGGGATTTTCTTCCTTTTAGCTAAGTGTCAGACGGAAGAATACCAAAGAGGTGTTTGGTGGCTTTTTCAAAAGCGTGGTAAAAAGTGCTGATGAAGTCCTTTTTTCTGGAGTTAAGGTAAGTGGCTTTGGGCTGTTTGAGAAAATTCTAGACTTGATGGGACTCCGTGACCTTATTTCCCTTTGGAAAAGATACTTGTGAGACCGTGGTTAAGCGTTAATGTTTTCTTCAAATTTTCTTATTTTTCATCTCATTCAATATTCACTTATTTTCCTAAAGCGCCTTGTTCTCCCAGGAGAAGGTGACATGAACCTTTCTACACTTGTCTTCATTTTCTCCTGTAAGGAGAGATACCACTCAGTAATTCTAAAAAGAAAATAAGCTAAAAGATCGGTATTTTATGCCATTCTCCAGAACTACACTGTCCAGTATGGTGACCACCAACCACAGGTGGCCGGTGAGAGCTTGGCATGTAACTTAGCTGGCCTGATCAAGGTTCCAGATGTGACATTGCATTTACATACTGGATTTCAAAGATTTAGTGTAAAGAAAAGAATGTAAAATGTCTCACTAACAGTGTTTGTGTGTTGAAATGATTATATTTTAGATATGCTGCTAAGTGAAATTAAAGTTAACGTCATATGTTTTTACTTCATAATGTGACTACTAGAACATTTCTAAATGGTATGTGTGGCTTACATATGTCTGTTGAATATTGTGGTTCTAGAAAATATAAATTAATACCCAAGTCTCATGACCTTCATAGATATATTTATTTCTTCACTTCTCAGGCCTTCCCCTTCCTTTTTTAAAAACTTAATTATTATTTTTGAGTCGGAGTCTCACTTTGTTGCCCAGGCTGGAGTGTAGTAGCATGATCATGGCTCACCACAACCTCAGCCTTCTGTGCTCAGATGATCCTTCCACCTCAGCTAATTTTGTGGGGGGTTTTGTAGTGATGAGGTTTCACTATGTTGCCCAGGCTGATCTTGAACTCCTGGACTCAAACAGTCTTCTTACCTTTACCTCCAAATGTGCTGGGATTACGGGCATGAGCCACTGTTCCCAGCATCCTCTTCCTTTTTAATTGGGTTACCTTGACAGTTAGTGTCTGCTGTCTGGCTTTGCTACTCCAGGGAGCTCAGAACACAGATACTAAGTATAGAGGGCATTGTCAGAAATTTGGAAACTTTTGGACTAATTATCATGCAGTTTATGGTGTGTAGTACTGTCTTGTGTCCATGCATTGTGGGATATTTAGCATCCCTGGCCAGTGCCTGCTGAATGCCAGTATTACCTCCCATTCTGAAACCAACCAAATTTTATTTAAAGTCACTCACATAGATGCAGGTATCCAAGGCTAGGTGGCAGTGTCCACCTGCTGGAACCATTGCCCTGGCGCTGAAATTGGGTCTTAGAGGGAATGCTAGAGTTTTACTGGCTATTGACAAACTGCTCTTCAGTGTGGCATGCTCTCTAGACATTTTCTGCTAGCTCTTGGTTTTTGCCAGCCTTGGGTATGAAATAGTATCATACATTTGTAGTTCCCTCATTTGTGGAGATTAAACTTGCTATTTATAAGTGTATTTGCCATGTTTCTTCTAATGCAGAACACATGTTCCCATTCTTGAAATGTCTGCTTCTTCAGTCTTTTTTCCTGCCTTTTAGGAGGTAGATGACTTCTTTGAGCAAGAGAAGAATTTCCTTATTAACTACTACAATAGGATCAAGGATTCCTGTGCAAAAGCTGACAGAATGACCCGATCTCATAAAAGTAAATACTGCCCACCCGCTAGCCACTTAGAGCTTTGCTGATGTGCCCGCTCTACTCAGATGACAAAGGGCTGCCCTTGTTTCTGCAGATGTTGCCGACGATTATATCCACACTGCGGCCTGCTTGCACAGTCTGGCTGTAGAAGAGCCCACGGTCATCAAAAAGTGAGTGTTGGGAAAGCGTTTCCTTTTACTTGGTTGAAGAATGCTGAGTGGTGTGTTTGAAAGGATATGAGTTGTGACCACGTGGTTTGGGGTCTGCTCTGGAGTTGGGCGAGCTCATTACAAAAGTCTCCAGTGCCAGATCTTCAGGTGTCCTCTGTACGTAAGACGCCCAGCGTCTCTTCCCTGAGTGAACAGCTGTGGTAGCCTTCGTCTGTCACCTGCCTCCGCTTTCTCCGAGAGTCGATTGCCTCCATCTCTTCTGGCAAGGTGGCGCTTGCCATTCTGCCTGGCAGTGCCCTGGGCTGCCCTGGTTAGTGTGGTCATGAGAATCAATGACACTAGTCTCATCTTGTACTTATTTGTGTGTATATATGTGTTTCCAGTTTCTTCATCTTGGGCATTCCTAATGTCAGAGGGTCTTCTTAACAGGTGGTATTTCTTCTGACTTGAAACTGAAAGGCAGGCTAACGGCACGACCATGACAAGTTAAGTAGTAGCATATTGATTATGTTAATATCTAGAGCTCATTAGAACCTGACCTTGGTTAACACAGCACTGACATTTAACCTCTTGCACTTGGATACATCTCACATACCACCTATCAGCAACTTGACTGCACTCTTTAACAAAATAATGAAAATTGAATCACTTCATATTAAGTAGTATGTTGGGAACCAGTTATTTTACTGTGATGATATCTGACTTATACTGGAATTTTGGACATTGAGGAACTTTTATATTTTATATCTTACATCTTAATTTTTCTAACAGGGTAATGTATGAAACAGTCACTGACATTCATCACAGGCTCATTGATAAGCATTGTGCAATAGTAATTTGTTTGGCGTCTACTACCTGCCCTGTTTTCTTATTTGAGCAGACAATGAAGTCTCCTTTTCTTCCTCCCACATTAATAATATGTAATTCTTTATCCAGTCTGTTGTTCAAACAAGATGTGAAAGGACACACTCATGATTATATCTTAGTAGATATTCCATCTCTTTATTTGCTTTTTCATGCAATTTGAATGGAAAACTTCAAGGAAATACATTTTTTAAAAACTGCTGTATGGTCACCAGCAATCTCTATGTCCCAAGAGGGTATATCTAGATTTACAATGTTTTCTCATAGGGGACATCCGAGTGCAAGGGTTAATAAGGATTTGCCATACACATGTCAGAATGACTAAGGGGCACAAGAGAGGCTGATGCCCCTGAATGTGCCTGTTTTTTGTGACCACTTTATGCTATTTGGGGCCAATGGCAATAAAAAAGCACTACTTTAAAATTAATCCTAATGTGCCAAAGGCTATGAGTCCTGAGTTTACATTTATGTCTTAGCATATTAAGCATATTACTAAGATTATATTTCACCAACAATTTACAAACTTAAACCAAAAATTCTCTGTATTTTCAGGTACCTGCTGAAGGTTGCTGAGCTGTTTGAAAAACTTAGGGTAAGAGTTTTGTGTTAGTTTTCATAATACTTATTTTATAATCTGTAGGTTTCTTACTTGATGGTGACCTTTACTTTTTTAAATAGAAAGTGGAGGGTCGAGTCTCATCAGATGAAGACTTAAAGCTGACAGAGCTTCTTCGATACTACATGCTCAATATAGAGGCTGCTAAGGTAAGACAGGTGGCTGCGCACATCAGTTGGACAAGACCACCTTGCCAGGACTGGAAGCCTGAGGGGAAAGGCATGCTCTCTTTAAAAAGGAGAGTTACTTTATACTCAGGAGTAAGATGGGAGTTTATCAGATTTGTTTGTGTAAATGATAAGTCTTCTTAAAGCTCATGTTGTTGGCGGCACTGTGGTGGGGGAGTGGAGTAGACAGGTAACGGTTTTGGGGATGATAGATTATTGATGTGGGATATATACACAGCATGCCAAAAGGCTGTTTCTGAGGCAGAAAAGGGTTGGGGGTTTGTAAATAGGTTGGTACTGAGTTGTACTTGTCCACTGCAGCCTTTGAACTCAGTACTACTTAAAAACATGGTAAGCAAAAGAATCTTTGGGAACTATGCATTCTTCACTGTCAGCATTGCCCTGACCAAAAAAAGCATTTTAATTTTACATGAAATGTGTTCAATTAGATAACAATTTACAATGGGTGGGCTGTTTCCTCCTGCCTCATTGTCCAGTTGTGTTTCAGCAGCACAGCACTTGGCCCACCCCCAGTAATTGTGCATATGCTTTGATACATGATGTTTGATTTTACCTTCAGTTATCGAATTAGCTGAAAAACACGTGTTCACTCTGAGTTTGTTTTTTTTTAAATCTGATTTGTATAAAGAGTCTTGCAAGAGCTCTCCACAGTTCTGTCAGTGTTGCCACTCACGTTGCAAGAGGACATTGGCATTAGGGTGCTTGGGTTACTGTTTTAGACTGGCTTCAGTATTTAGTACGTGTACATGTTGATTTTCTTCTTAGGATCTCTTATACAGACGCACCAAAGCACTAATTGACTATGAGAACTCAAACAAAACTCTGGATAAGGCCCGGTTAAAAAGCAAAGATGTCAAGTTGGCTGAGGGGCACCAGCAGGAGTGCTGTCAGAAATTTGAACAGCTTTCGGAATCTGCAAAAGAAGGTCAGCAAGACATTCTTCTGTACTTGTATTTGGAAATAATTTCAGACTTGGGAAAAGTTGCATCTAATAGTGAGAAAGCCCTGGTGTGTCCTTCACCCATCATAGCACGTTGCCTGTCTGCTTTATCCCTCACACACGCATGCTCTCCTGTGGCTCCTGCGTGCTTAAACATGCACCCCTAGGTTTCCTTAATTCGGGATTAAGTTGCACGCATCGTGGACCTTTGATTAAAAGCAACATTGTGTATATCATGGGGCTAAAACTCCTGACATCCCCGCAGTATCCCATGGGTAACTTACAGTCTCATCTGCTCCTGTTGGTGTTTGTCCCAATAATCCTCCACCACAAAGTCCAGTCTAGGATTGCATCTAGTTCTCTTAGCTCTTAGGCTCCTTTGCTCTGGATCAGTTCTTGTTTGTTTTTAATGATATTGGCCTTTTTAAAGAATGTAATCTCTTTTTGTCAACTAATAACAGTGTTCTATTTTATGGTTTGCTATGTATCCTGACAGTGTAAGTAAGCGGCCCTTCTGGTCCCACATCTGAGGACATCTGTATCCTTCTCTACTTCATCTGTGGTGTTGATTTTGATTGCCCATTCAGGTGGTGTTTGGTTTCTGTGGGGACAGTTGAAGATGACGCATATATCCTGCTCTTCCTCAGACCCCCTCCTTAGATACTGATGATTCTTTCCAGAACCCACCTTTACCCTGGTTGCAAAAAAGACGATTTCCCTCTCCAAGTCATCATCTCATGGCATCCTGCTACAAACAGGAGCCTTCTCTTTCATGAATACTTTTTTTCCTCTTTAATAGAGTCATGGATTTCTGGTTTTGATCATGGTTTGGAATTAATTACGACTAAATTATTTGGATGCACCAGACTTTGTCACTGGAGCACCTGTAAACTCGCATGTGTTGGTAACCTTCACCCCTTTTCTTTGAGCAGTTGTTCTGTGCTAATGTTAACTCCTCCTACTCCAGTCCTAGAATTGACCGTTGCTTTGGGGTGCCAGGATTCTTAGAGAATAGTTATCAAGACCTGGGTGTGCTAGGTGTGCTCATTGTTCTTGGGTATCTCTGCTTCTAGAGCCTTCAGTGGACTTGAACTGGGAAATGTGGTTTTGTGTGCACATGCACATTTCAGAGATCAGGTGTCCATGCTGACGTCTCAGTTCCAGTCCCTGCCCACAGGGTCTTCCCTGCCTTGCCCCATTTCAGAGCAAGGGACTTTTTAATGTATAATAGATGAACATTATATTGTATATGTGTATAATAGATACACATTTCTACTGAGCATGAGCGTAATATGTTGTCTTTCCCAGGAGGACCATATGAATCTTCCCTGGAGTTCTCAGGAGTCATGAAACATGCCAGAGTAGATGTTGGAGTGTATCTCCCAGAATGTTGATGTCATTACAGTGGGACAGTGCACCTGACTCAACCCAACCCCCTCAGCACAGGGTCCATGAGAAATGCCTGTCTCATTTAGTTTTCTCAGAATGTTCTTGTTTCCTTGGGGTAGGAAAATCTAGATATATGTAAATGTTCTTATAATAGCAATGGTCTATCGAGCAGCAAGCTAAAAACTAGAGTTCTAACCATTTGTCTTGTTTTGGGTTTATTCAGGACTTTAATGTTTTAACTGTAAGGCACAGAAATTCGTGGCAAATGTCATGTGGACAGCTCATGTGACTGTCTTGGATTCTTCCAAAGTAACCTTTGTGCTGCCCTGTTGTTAAAGCAAATTCTTTTTTTTTTTTAGAGCAACTAATTGAAATTTGCAAGGAAAAGTACACACTTGAAACACTAGTGAGTTGAAATGTTAAGTTATTCTGTAGGCCAGTTTTGTGGCTCTGACAGTTTCGGAGAAGATGAAAGAAAAACCACGGGATTTAAAGTGGTGCCAATTTAGGCCTTTCTTGACTACCTAAGGTTTTCTCCTATGGTGCTTGATTATATCCTTTGTATTCAAAATGCAAGCCTGAGTATACTCCAGAAGTGTACAGTATTGATAGAATGCTGATATGGCTGCCTCTTAACCTGCTTGCCTTTGGTACAGCTCTGGGATTTATAGCTGGGCTGAATAGAGTTGAGTCAGTGGAAGGGATGTAGCATGAGTGGAGGTGTGGATGGTTGGTGTCAAGCCTGGTCCTATGTGCAGGGTGGGAGGAGCACTGATCTTACCCCTGGGAAGACCTGTAGAACCTAGGCTAACCAGGGAGTTGTCCTTAACATACATCTCCATGTAGTGCTGGCACTAGCCTACTATACCTATACAATTTGTGACTTTACTTTTTAGTGTCTGCTTGCATTGTAGTTTTTTGGGACAGCACTGTAGAGACAGACAGGAGGGTGACCTGTAGGTTCTTACCAAAGCAGTGATGGCCAAAGTTTTACCAAAGTAAAACTGCAAAGCACAATTGTGATAAATTTAATAAAGGGATTAGAGGGAGGCGTGCGTGTTCTTGGTATATACTAATTTCTTTAATTTTAGTTTTTGAAGACAAGGGGTGGGTCACTGTGTTGCCCAGTCTGGTCTCAAACTCCTGGGCTCAGCAATCACCCACCTCAGCCTCTCAGAGTATTGGGATTATAGTCGTGAGCTACTGTGCCCAGCTTACTCTAATTTTTAATAGATAATTAGTCCTGAATTCTGATGGCAATAGGAAAAGATAGAAAGGTGAAATTTCATACTGATCATATGTGAAGCAAATCTATCCTGAGCACAAGAGTATTTGCACTGTTTTCTTTCTTAAAATTTCTTAAAATATTATCTTTAGTTGACAAATCGTATTGCATTTACGTAATACAGTGTTGTGATACTTTGAAATGCGAATATAATGTGAAGTGATCAAGCCAATTAGCGTATCTACTAATTTTTTTTAGTGATAAATTTGAAATTCTTGTTTGTAAGTGAGATCATGCAATATCTGTCTTTCTGTGCCTGGCTTATTTTGCTTAGCATAATGTCCTCTAGATTCATTCAAGTTGTCCCAAGTAGCAGAATTTTGGGTTTTTTGGGGTTGTTGTTTTTTTTTTGGTGAGTTGGAGCCTCTGTCACCCAAGCTGGAGTACAGTGGCATGCTCACAGCCACTGCAGCCTTGATCTGCTGGGCTATGGTGATCCTTCTGCCTCAGTCTTCCAAGTAACTAGAACCACAGGTGTGTACCACCATGCCTGGCTAATTTTTAAATTTATTTTAGAGAAGAGGTCTCATCAAGTTGCCCAGGCTGATCTCGAACCCCTGAGCTCAGGCAGTTCTCTCACCTCTGCCTCCCAAAGTGCTGGGATTACAGGCTTGAGCCACCACACCTGGCTAAATTTTGTTCTTTTTAAAGGCTGAATAGTATTGTGGATATACACCACGTTTTTTCATTCATCTGTTGACGAACACCTAAGTTTGTTTCTTGGCGATTGTGAATAGTGCTGCAATGAGCATGAGAGTGCAGATATTCCTGTAACATCCTGCTTTCCATTCCCTTGGAGGTATTCCCAGAAGTGGGACTGCTGGATGGGGTGGTAGTTCTATTTTTAGGTTTTTGAGGAACCTTTATACCATTTTCCAAATGGCTGTACTGATTTCCACTCTCCCCAGCAGTGTGTAAGAGTTCCATTTTCTCTGCATTTATTGTCAACACCGATTTTTCTCTTTCTGTTAAGATACATTCTAACAGATGTGGGGCTATCATCTCATTGTGGTTTTGATTTGCATTTTCCTAATTAGTGATGCCGAACATTTTATTCTAAGCCATATGTGTTAGCCATGAGCTTATCTGTTTTTGAGAAGTGTTTTCACCTTACTTTTAAAAACCATAAGTGAAGTGTGTCTGGCTCCCACCTCTCTCCAGCCTTGTCTTCCGTCCTTGGTACCTATAGGGTGAGCGTGAGGCTGCTTGCCACAATCCCCAGTTGGTGACTGGGTATGGTTGCCTGCTCTTTAAGCATGTCCCAATCACAGAGATAATTGCAATGTGAGAGAACAATGGTGCAGTGCATGAAAGCTCTGGAGATTATTTGTAACTGATATGTAGACGTTAAAGTGAATGTGAACATTGTTTAATTTTTTGGGGTTTGGTAAATTTTAACTCTTTCTTCCTACAGAACTGATAAATTTCAAACGAAAAAGAGTGGCGGCATTTAGAAAAAATCTAATCGAAATGTCTGAACTGGAAATAAAGCATGCCAGAGTAAGTGTTTTCTTCACATTAAGCCCACAACTTTTTAGTTTTTTTTTTTTTTACTGTCCCAGAGTCATCAGGCAGATGAGGCTTGCCCTGTGGTTTTCATCTCTGGTACTAAGTAGGTGGCCTCTCCATTGTAGTATTTTTGCTGCTGTAAATTAATTCCACAGCATCCTGAAATACACTTGAAAGAGCATTCTCGGTGGGGGCTGCCCTGCCTTTCTCTCAGAGGCCTTTGCCAGGACTCTTGGACTTTCATGGAAAATCTTTTTATTTTTTTTAGAGTTGGAGTCTCACTCCATCGCCCAGACTGGAGTGCAGTGGAATGCTCCTAGCCACCGCAGCCTTGACCTGCTGGGCTCCAGCGATCCTTCCACCTCAGCCTTCCAAATAGCGGGAACTACAGGCGCGCATGCTACCACGCCCAGCTAATTTTTTTTTTATTGTAGAGATGAGGTCTTGCCAAATTGCCCAAGTGGGTCTCGAACCTGCGGGCTCAGTCATTCCACTCACCTCAGTCTTCCAAAGCACAGGATTACAGGCTGAGCCACCGAGCGGAAAACCTTTTTAGAAAAGTTATTTTCTAGCTTGCCAAGTGTCTTCTAATAATTCCTTTTCGGTTTAGAAAGGAAGAAAAATGTATTCTTCTGTTGTATGTATGTGATGTCTATAGTTTGGCTGTGGAGGACAGTGCTTCTCCATGCTGGATGCACATTGGCTGTACTCGGGGTCTTTTAAGAATTTGAGGTGCTTCTATGCTCAATCTCTTTTAGGGGGGAGCTGGTGCCAGGGGCTCATTTCAGCTCTAGGGGTCAGAAGGAGGGAACTGTCTCACTGGCCCTTGGTTTTAGCTGATGCTTTACTTTGACAACAACATTGATGTGTTTACTCACTGCCTCTTGATGAAGCCCCAGTCCTGTTGTGCATAAGTTTTAAATTAGAGTGTTAAAAGTGTCATTTATATAAATTGCATCCATAACATTTGGGTATTCTAAGTTTGTCTAAATTTCTTTTTTAAAATGAGAACTTTTTGTAAGGCAATTTTTACAGATCCTTATGAATATTACCAGTAATCTTATTTATAATCTCACTCATGTCTGGTTTTTTAGCAACTTGTATCCAGTCTTTCCACTTCCTCTTAGAACATTTCCATTTATATGGCTTTTAAGCTGCAGTTAAGCAGAGACTCATTTGGGAGCTGACCAGGCAGAGGTGCTAGAGTGGCCACTGACAATGAATCTGGGAGCCCCTCAGGCAGTGGTCTGTAGATGGGGAGGGTAGGTTGCAGTTGATCTGAGGTTTTATGAAGAGAAGTGCTAGCCCAGACTAGCTGCCTTTGAGTCTCTTGGGAAAAGCTGTCTGTGCACTTGGGTCTTCATGGGTATAACACAGGTCTTAGACTCTGGAGTGATTTCTTGGTCTGCCTTGACATGTATATTTTTATTGTTTTTACAGAACAATGTCTCCCTCTTGCAGAGCTGTATTGACTTGTTCAAGAACAACTGATCTATTCTGCCTTTACTCTGAAGGAAGGAAATGAATGTGAAAAAAAAATCCCAGCGTCACTTGCACTTAAATCATTACCATGGAAGATTTATTAGCTTCGACTTTAGTTTAAAATTATGTGAATAAATATTTTGATTTCTGAAAATCTTTAACACTTAACCATGTTGGTTTAAAAAATATTTCTATTGCATGCTACTTGGACATAACTAATCTTTCCTTAAGCATTTAATACCTCAGTGGGCAGTGGCTAAGCCCTGGGCTCTCCTGTCCTTTATCTGTAATTACTAAGAAAGGGTGTGGGCGATGCAGGCCTTCTGGACAGAATGGGGGCAGTGTTGACCTGAGTCTGCCTCGAGTTTCATGTGCTCTTGTCCCCCCACACCTGTTCTTGTTTGGGTGGTGCCAGTTGCAGCTAAGCTGGGCTTGTTCCAGGTAGTCGCCTTCCTCAACTGGATGGGTTTTTGCTGTCTGTTGCTCCTGTGGTTGTCAAGTATTCTTGTACCAGTAGCAAGAGATCGCCCTCTCCACGCACCCTTCGCAGCTCAGTTTGGTGGCAGTCAGGATATAAATATTGAGGGGAGAGGAGTATTGAGGGCATATCTGAGAACACATCCTGCGACTGGATCTACAGAAGAGGGATATGTACTCCCTTCCCAGTGGGCCTTGGTGGGGGCATTTGTTTTTTATGAAATACGTAATAAAACAATAGTGCTGCTGCTGTGTGGAGTGTTTTTGGAGAAATCAAGGCCAGGATGTGCCCCAGGAATGCATTTGCACTGAGACGTGGCTGTGATGATGAGAGAAGGGTCTGTCCAGGTTCAAGGTCTGTCCAGAGTCCAGGGACCTTCGCTCTAACTACTTGACAGTTTTCAATGCTGCTGGCATTTTTTTTTTTTGCAAGGTTGCTATGTCTGGGCTTGTCCCTGCTCTTAACCTGATTCAAGCTTGCATTTTTGCCACCGGGGGGTGCTTCCTCAAGAGGCGTGTATCTCTCTTGATTATTGAGCTCTAAAGGTAGCCTTCTCACTGAAGTTTACATTTGACCTTTATAATTAATAGGTGACTTATGGGAAGGTATTTTAAGGCTATATGAAGAAATTTTGTCTACTGCTCTTAGCATCTATTATAACCAGTTGTAACTGGTTACAGCAGGTACAAGACTTAACTGATTTTGGTATCACAGGGAGCATTCTTCATTTGGTCTTGATGTCTCACCTGCTAGCAGGGACTTTCGCCTCCCTGGCACCTGCTTGGGAAGTGTGGTGCTCCCTTTCTGTCTCCACCCCATGGGGTGGGTGGAGTTGTAGCTTCAGTCTGGGCTCTTGGTCACACCTTCTTTCTCCCTCTCCCATACTGTCCAAGCACAAGTCCTATGTGGCCAGGGTGAGGTCAGTTTCTCAGAACCATTACTGGGTGTAAGATGGCCGACTGGGACTCAGCTCTGGGTCCTAACTGTTGCTGGCCAAGTGGTCTAAGCAGCCTTCCTACTCTGAGCCAGCCGAGTCTTCTGTAGGCTGTCAACACTCGGGTAACATGGCCAGCTGTCTAATGCAGTCTTAGTCCATGCATGATTCTGGGTGTGCTGCTGCTTTATTTTTGTCTCAGGGCTTGGTTTCCTTTCTGACAAGCACTTGTGAAACATGGAGGCCTGAGTAGGTCGGGGATGCTTCCACTTCCCTCTTATGCCTGTCAGCTGTTGAGCTGCTGCCCTTTCATGCGGCATGAGGACTGTATTTGTAGTGTCTTTGGGAAAGTGGGCACATTGGTAGGAGGGGAAACCGATGTCCTGAAATAGATGCGAAACAGTTTAGATGCTGACTGCCCCTTGTGTAGTCTGCGGAGCCCAGGAGGGCAGGTCTGAGGGAAGGAGGGTGTGTCACATGGGAATTCCATCCCTGTGCAGCCTTTCCTGTGTTGGGGAGAGTGGAAGGAGGTGTTAGGTGTCACGCTTAAGAGATTCTGTTAGAGCCGTGGGTGGGGCTGGGCTTTGCTGTGTCTTCCTGCTTAATGCTTCAAAGTTAGCTCTTCTGGGTTAGGGTCTATCTGAATAGCTGGTGGCCCTCCGGGAAGGCCCATGCTGGTGGGCAGTTTCTGTGAGGCTCTAGAAGCAAGGCAGGCTGCAAACGGGAGGTGGGTTTAGAGATGGCAGCTCTCAGGCAGCCCAGCCCAGAAAGACACCCGGGTCACACAGCTGGAGGAAGTTAAAGTGCGTGCAAATGTACAATTCCTGGGCAACTCATCTTACAAACCAGGAGACGCTCACCCCCAAGGAAGGGACTCCGGGCTGCAGAACCTCTGTAGGAGGTGGGTCACTTGGGGCACGAACCAGGGACCCCCCACCACAGGTGTGCGTTTGCAGCAGTGCCCGACTTGGGAGCGCCCGCCTGGAAGGTGTTTTCTTGGGGGAAGCTGACGCTGGTGCCGTGCACCATCAGCCCTCAGCCTGTAGGCGGCAGAGGTGACTCAGGGCGGCCACCCGTCGCAGATGCCAGGCCTGGGGTCCTCCAGGCGCAGCCGAGGAGGAGCTGGTGCTCCTGCAGATCTGCTCTGACGATCAGCAGCCCACATCCCAAGGCGCTCTGGATCCTTCCCAGACCTGCAGCGCCCCCCACACACACAACCCAAGGTTCCCGCAGGCCTCAGATTCCCAGTGACCAAGACACAGCTGTTCCCGGAACTCCCGTCTAAGCCTCATGTCAAACAGCTGGAGGTCCTGGGGTTCAGAGCTGGCCCGTGATGTGCCTGGAAGGAAGTGAAGAGGACAGCGGCAGAGCAGTGCTGGCTGTGAACTTCTGTGGGGGGGAGGACTTCCATACACTCCCTTCCCCTGCCTCAGCCGCGTGTGCACGCACACACATGATCCCCGTGCCAGGATGGGTGGGCCACCCGGAGATTTTTTTTTTTTAAACCTTATTTGCAAGCTAACAAGTTTGGTAAGTAGTGTCTTATTGGAGGTTTGATTTGTCACCATTGAAAGGCATTGACTGTTTTTCTTTGTATTTTGGGTTGGGGTCTCACTGTCACCCAAGCTGGAGTGCAGTGGCATGATCACAGCTCACTGCACCTTCAGCCTCCCGGGCTCAGGCAGTCCTTCTACCTCAGCCTCACTAGTAGCCAGGACTACAGGCATGCACTGCTACACCCAGTTAATTTTTTTCTTTTTTTTGTAGAAATGAGGTCTTGCTCTATTGCCCAGGCTGGTCTTGAACTCCTGGGTTTAAGCAATCCTCCCACCTTGGCCTCCCAAAGTGCTAGGATTATAGGTGTGAGCCACCGCACTTGTTCGTTTGTTTTTTCTATCTGTACCTATCAAAGTAATACATACTTGAAGGACTTCAAATAATACAAAAATGAATAAACTAGAAAGTAAAGTCCCCTATTTTTACCACATCTCGTAAATAAGTCAGTTGTTAGCCGGGCTCGGTGGCTCAGCCTGTAATCCCGCGCTCTGGGAGGCTGAGGTGAGTGAATTGCCTGAGCCCGCGGGTTCGAGACCCGCCTGGGCGACTTGGCGAGACCTCATTTCTACAATAAGTCAAAAATTAGCCGGGCGTGTAGTTCCAGCTACTTGGAAGGCTGAGGTGGAAGGATCACCGGAGCCCAGCAGGTCGAGGCTGCGGTGGCAGGGAGCGCAGCCACTGCACTCCAGCCTGGGCGACTGAGACTCCAACTCAAAAAAAAAAATGTTTCCAGATTTGCTTCCCATCCATATATATGTATGCATATTTTACAGAAACGGTGTGGGATGCCAGAGTTGGGGTTAGTTTCTGGAGGCTTCCGGCTGTTGGTGCTCCCTCCCTTTGGCATAGACTGTCTAGACCCCTGAACAGCCCTCCTGAAGCCAGAAAGCAACTCTCCTTCCAGTGCCCGGTTCCCACTCACAAGAGGGCAGCGCCCCCTGCAGACGAGCCAGGCTGTGTCCCAGCCTCTTCTAATGCTTCAGCAACCAGCCTCCAACCAAAGGCTTCAGGCTGAAAAGGTGTGAACGATACAGGTAGCTGTTTAGAGAATTTTAATTTTTTTTTTTTTTGATACATGTTTTTTACTTTAAAATTGTGGGGTACAGTTAAGGGTTAGGTGTACAATTTTAATTTTAATTGGGGCTTTCTTTTTTTTCATTTTTTGAGTTGGAGTCTCACTCTTTTGCCCAGACTGGAGTGCAGTGGCTGCTCCCGGCCACCGCAGCCTCGACCTGCTGGGCTCCGGCAATCCTTCTGCCTCAGCCTTCTGAGTAGCCGGAATTACAGGCACTCGCTACCACACCCGGCCATTTTTTTTTTTTTATTTTATTGTAGGGATGGGGTCTCGCCTGCCTAGGCGGGTCTCGAACCCACGGGCTCAGGCAATCCACTCACCTCAGCCTCCCAAAGGCGCGGGATTACAGGTTGAGCCACCGAGCCCGGCTTGGGGCTTACTTTCTAATACATGCCTTCAACCCCTTTAAAGCTTCTTGAAATGTGGGACCCATAATTTTTTTTTGTCTTTTCGAGTTGAAGTCTCACTCTGTCACCTAGGCTGGAGTACAGCGGCGCAATCATGGACTTACCATAGCCTCGACCTCCTGGGCTCAGGCGATCCTCCCGCCTCAGCCTCCAGAATAGCTGCCATCATATCTGGCTAATTTTTCCTTTTTTTTTTTGTAGACACGAGGTCTTGCTATGTTTCCCAGACTGGTCTCAAACTCCTGACTCAAGCAATCCTCCTGCCTTGGCCTCCCAAAGTGCTGGGATTACAAGTGTGAGCCACTGCGCCTGGTGAGATCTGTAATATTCAAAACACCCTGGAAAAGAGGAGCTATGAACCCAGCCCACAGCCACTTATTTCTGATGGTTGCCTTCATTCATTTATTTGGTGAATTCATTCATTCATCTGGTGCACACTCAGCTAGAGGAAAAAAGTGCCTATTTGGGGGGATTTTTAACATAAGTCAAAGGGCGGAGATTTGAGGGCACTCGGGTGTAGGGTCGCCACTGAAACTGGCTGCAAGGAAGGATCGTGTAGTGAAAGACTGGCCAACTGCTTATGTTTCAAGAACTATTTATCACTGGCATTTGCAGACTCCTTCCCGTCATTCTTGTGGGTTTAGAGAAGGAATGGAAACCATGTGTTTATTGTCAGCTGGGTCTCCTCCACCATGAAAACCACAGACAGGAGGGGGCGATTCACCCCCTATGGTCAGCCTAAGACGAGCCCTGCTGTGGCTCCTGAATCCCGGGTCAGACCCAAGACATGGCGCTTCTCGGCTTAATCCATCCCAGCTCCCCACTGCCCTTCCTCCCCTCTCCCCTCCTTAAAGCTAGGAAGGTATCTGTGAAGCAGTTGGTGTTTGACTGAGGGCAGAAACCTTGAGCTACAGCCAGCCTCGGAGATGCCTGCTGGGTCCGGCTGTGACTCCCGGGGCTGCTTCTTTCACGTGTTGATTGAATCAGGGTTCCAGGAGCCAGGCCTGGCGGGAGGCAGGTGGCTGGGCGTTTATCTGGGGGCAAAGTGGCAGGGTTAGGAGAGAGAATGCATGACAAAGGACCCTGAGGGAGGAGTGGGGAAGGGGCCTGAGAGCCTGGGAAGCCCAGGTCCCTCCTTCAAGCAAGGCTGACCTTGGCCTGCTCAGCAAGTGCCTGAGAAGGCAGGAAATCCCAGCCTGCCTCCGCCAGGAAAATCCTGGAAGCGCCTGCTGTGAATCCCGACAGGGCCTGGCTGTGTGTTTTTCTAAAGTCTGGT